TACGTTTACCGTTAACTTTAATGCTAAATAAATATATAATATTATTCAAATGTAGAATAATTGACTAGATATTTAGGGTCCCTGGTCGATCGACACAAAAGTCACATGAGTACATGGCTTTAGACGATCCTTTATTAAGTAACGATTTGCGGTCACAAAAACAAATTCGCAGGGGATGCGGTATAAAATTTAGAAAGTACACGTTTAGTTCTACTATGTGCTGAAGTAATTTGGTAATCGGCGAAGTTAGATGAGAAGTATGTTTAGACATTTCATTTTATGATTTATGAATCGTTTACGCGTCATTAGAAGCTTTTTTATAATTATTTTATAACAATTTATTATTTATAATCCCAAAGACAGATACATACTGCCAGTGTAAATAAGTTAGCTACACGACGCAATGAAACATGGTTTATGACTTTTATGAGAGGCTAAGGCATAGTGTCATGTTCACAATTAGTAATTTAGAATCAATGTGAAAATTAGTTTATAAAATAAAATTGGTTTTTATGGTTAAAAATATTTTTATATCATGTTTTATTAATGTTATAGTGTAGATATTCATATTTTCTATTATTTATTTTGTTTTATTTATCTATTTGAAAAAATTTACAAATGTTTTTTAATCGGATCTTGAGTTATAAAATTCTATTTGTACCGGAATAATGGTCTTAGATTTTGAGATTACTGTTATTTTATAATATATAATTATTTATTATGATAATTCTACTTTCATATCAAACTATTTACTACTAACGTTAATTTAGTTTTGTATGATATTTTGTCTTGCCAAACACGATTTAATCCATAAAATTCAATTAACCAATAATATTTTTTGCAATTTCACGAAAAAATTAGAAAGTTCGTTATGCTCAAAGCAATATGTTATTATGTGTTAATTAATCACCTGTGAAATCTGTGATATAATTTAAATATATCTGTTTTTGATAACAATAATTTATAGATATCATACTTTTTTTTACTCGCTAAACAATTTATTATATTTGTAAAAAAACAAAATATCAGCAATTTTAGTAATATACAATAGCTTCTGCAAAAGAAACGAATCACAGCAAACCACATATTAGCAAATCACAAAATTCGTACGTCCCTGTTTCCGTTCCTGATTTTGCGCGATGACGTCGCGTAATTATCTAATTAATAAAATTACAAGTATTCATTCTTGAAAAAATTTAGCAATTAATTTTGCATATAAAGCTTTATAACCCATATCAAAAACCAAATTTACTTGTAACCCAGTGGTCTGTATTGAGTCATTTTTGCATTATTTAATTCTCAGGAATTTATCTTAAAATCCCGACAGACAAAATCCCGACAAGACAAAATCTTGACAAATTTGACCAGAATTATAGTTAATTCTGGCCAAATTTGTCAAGATTTTGTCTTGTCGGGATTTTGTCTGTCGGGATTTTAATATAAATCCCATTATAAAGATTTAAGAAATTTGGAGAGTAGGTATTTTAACTTAGATTAATTAATTAGCAAAATTTTAAAATTTTAAGTAATATATGCGTATATGTAAGCACCATAGGCGCGTTTTGATGAAGTGAAACTTTTAATTATCAGTAAACTAAAAAATTATGTATTGATACAGTAGAAAATTGCAGTTCAATTTTGGGAATTGTTCATTGAAATTGGTAGAAATTCACCATCTGGTGCTGAACACTCGTTTGAAATATCACAAGACTCTCCGAACAGTATAATCCACCATGATGATTCATGACTTAGCAAAGCGAGTAGAATTAAAAGGATGGCTACAATTATACCACAAATACAAAACCAGCAGTGTATTTTTAAATTGCCATCAACCCTTTTTTCCTCATTAAATCTGTGGTAAAGGTAAGCAAAAAAACTGTTGAATGACCATATGGAACACACTGCTGTCAGATACTTACTCCGACAGCCAAATCCAACTGGTCGAGTTAGGTAAGCCAAAAAAACAGTTGTCCAAGGGAATACTATTGAAAATAACGCAGTGAATATAACTTGAGCATCTATAACCCTTTTATTACCGTCGTATCTTTTCAAATATATTTTTTCGCCTCTTAATAGTCTTTTTGGATCATTGACAACTATTTTCCCACCATAAATTCTTTTATAAATTGCTGGTAAAGTCCAAGTTAATGAAAATGGAAAATATGGCCAATCATGAGCTGAACACGGACCTATCATTCTGTACATTCCTTCAAATATGCCAACAAATATGTAATAAGCAGAAACAATCGACGAGAATCTGACAACTAAAGAGGCTTCTGCTATACAATCATTTACGCGTTCAATTTGTTCTGAAGTAAGCAAGGGTTGCATAAAATGATGACCGACAGGCCTATAAGAAGAAGGATTTCCGTTTTCATCCCAAAAATAGTCTGAAGAGAGCCAATATATACACATTGCTGTTTCGTCATTCATTATGTTGCAGTGAAAAAATAATCCTGTAAACGGACATCCAAGGCATCGTACCAGCCATAGTATCTTCCTAGTACAGCCATTATCCGGTGTAGCGCCTATGGTTGCTATAATTGGTAAGCAACCTAATACATACTGAGGAGCAGGTGCTTGTAATGTGTGCGCTAAATCTTCTATTGCCATTTATAAAATCTCAAAATTTCGAAAATAAAAGTTCGATATCTAATATTATATTTATATGATGAAATCACTGTATGTACGTACGATACATTTTTTGAACCAATATTATTACTTTTAAATAGTAAAATATGTAATTTAAATCATGTATTCATTCGTTGATTACTGGATTAGGGATTTGAATTAACCCAATTTTATTGTTTTTTTGTATGCATAACAGTGCATTTAGTGACTGGGCAGTTAACCTAAATATCTAGTCAATTATTCTACATTTGAATAATATTATATATTTATTTAGCATTAAAGTTAACGGTAAACGTA